CGGAGCAGGGAGCCCAATGCGGGGCTCGATCCCAGGACCCTGGGATCATGACCTGAGCCGAAGGCAGACACTTAATGACTGAGCCACCCAGGCGCCCTTACTCCTTTCATCTATACCCAAACTACGGGTAGAGCCAATTTGGAGTAGAATAAAAAGCAAATCTCAATAGTTTACAGGCCTATTAATAAATGTTTTCATACTCTGATCAAAATGGCCAAACATAAGGACCTACCTTGTCCAAAAAGAGTTTCTTCCGAAACAAGTGAGGTAGTTTACCTGGCCCATATTTGCTAGGTCATTGTTACTTTTACGTATTTTTAATCACGCACTTCTATTTTGGTAAGGCTGCCCCTACTCCCTTTTTTTTTTTTTAATTTTAAAACTCAACTATTGCGTGTTTGTGTTGGGGGTTGGTGGATTATATTATCCTTTGGAGATCTCTAAAGTACACTTTATTCTAGGGAGTAATTGATTCGGAAAGAATGGATTTTGAGCTGTTGCCAGATGATGAGCGTCAGTGTATAAAATGTAAAACCACATGCTTCATGTCTGCCATCTCCTGTTCTTGTAAACCTGGCCTGCTTGTTTGCCTCCATCACGTAAAAGAATTGTGTTCCTGTCCTCCTTATAAATATAAACTGAGGTGAGTAGGAAGAAGGGTCTTTTTCTATGGAAAACCCTAAATCCTTAATGAAAGCTCAGTGACATTTCTGTTCTAGGATTGAAATACTGAATATAAAATGTATGATTTTCTCCAAACCCAGATATCTCAAAACTAAGTCTGCTATTCTGTTTCCAGGTATAGATACACTCTGGATGATCTCTACCCCATGATGAATGCACTGAAGCTTCGAGCAGAATCTTACAATGAATGGGCCCTGAATGTGAATGAAGCTTTGGAGGCAAAGATTAACAAAAAGAAAAGTATGTGTTATACAAAATGTAGCTTGCTGATTGGCAAATTGGGACTGATTGTAATGTAGCCAACATAGTTATCAATGAACAGATTACTTGAAATAACCTGACTTTGTCCTTGTTTAGTTCCCCTGTTTAACCAGGTTTATGGAGTGTAAGCAGAGAAAGTTTTAAAGCCATGAGTGGATTAGGCAGATGCCCTTAGAGGAAAATCTTGATAGATGAATTGTATAAGATCATGTTTTTAACAAAGATCATATTGTTAGGAAACGGAATAACCTTTACACCTCTTGTCTCAGAAACAAAAATATTTCACATTTTATATGGAACCTTAGAAAAACATTTTTAAAATGTTTTTTTAAAATTAATATAATCCACCAACCCCCAACACAAAGGAAGCATGTTATTAAATTAGGAGTTTCTGGTTTATCACTTTTCAGTGCTAATCAAAGTCACAGTTTCTATCTCTTGTTATTACCTTGAAAGTCACAACTTCCTTTCCCATCACTTACAAAGTGCAGGAGAAAGGACTGGTCTATGCAACAATGAGAGATCTACATTTGCCTTGTTTTGACAAGTCCATTGTTTTCCATCTCTGAAACATTTCCACATTTTTTAAAATATTTTTTTTTAAAGATTTTAAAAAATTATTTATTTATTTGACAGAGAGAGACCGCAAGAGAGGGAACAAAAGCAGGGAGAGTGGGAGAGGGAGAAGCAGGCTTCCTGCCGAGCAGGGAGCCCGATGCAGGGCTCAATCCCAGGACCCTGGGATCATGACTTAAGCCGAAGGCAGACGCTTAACGACAGAGCCACTCAGGTGCCCCTGAAACATTTCCATACTGAAGAGCAGCTCTAGGCACTTGTGTTTAAAACACTCTAAAGGGGCTCCTGGCTGGCTCAGTTGGAAGAGCATGCGACTCTTGATCTTAGGGTCATGAGTTCGAGCCCCACATTGGGTATAGAAATTATTTAAAAATAAAATAAAACTTAAAAAATAAAAATAAAACACTCTACCCTTAGCCAAAAAATAAAAATTAAATGAGTAAATTTAAGATTTTATTTATTTATTTGTCAGAGAGAGAGAGCACAAGCAGGGGGAGCAGCAGAGAGAGAGGGAGAAGCAGGCTCCCCGCTGAGCAAGGAGCCTGATGCGGGACTCGATTCCAGGACCTTGGAATCATGACCTGAGCCGAAGGCAGACGCTTAACCAACTGAGCCACCCAGGCATCCCTTAAATGAACAAATTTATTAATGATTTAAAACATTGCAAATATAAAAACAAACTCTCCTTTTGTATTTCATACCACTCCTAATAAACAATGATCACAGAAAAAATGACCTTTTCTTTATTCCTAGGCCTTGTCAGCTTTAAGGCTTTAATTGAAGAATCTGAAATGAAGAAATTCCCAGACAATGATCTTTTGCGTCACCTTCGCTTGGTCACACAGGATGCAGAGAAGTGTGCTTCTGTTGCACAGCAGCTGCTTAATGGCAAAAGGCAAACTAGGTATGTACTTCCGTTTGAGTTTGGACTCTTTGGTGACTAAACTTGGGAACCTGTTGTGAGTAGTTTTTCCTTCTGTTCAGTATTCCTGTGACATCGAATCTGAGAATGGTGAATATATCATATTCTCATGGCTTCTTTGGGACTTTGTCTTTATAGATACCGATCTGGTGGAGGAAAATCCCAAAATCAATTGACAGTGAATGAGCTCCGACAGTTTGTGACACAGCTGTATGCGCTTCCATGTGTCCTTAGTCAAACACCTTTGCTAAAGGTAACACTTAGGGATGTGTGGGGAAGCACTTTGGTAATCCTCTAGTTTGTAAATAAATTCAGTTGACGTGATTAAGTCATCTTGGGTGGTTAATTTGTACATTTATTTGCAGATGTTTTATTTTGTTGTTTTTTTTTTTAAAGATTTTATTTATTTATTTGAGAGAGAATGAGATAGAGAGCATGAGAGAGGGGAGGGTCAGAGGGAGAAGCAGACTCCCTGCTCAGCAGGGAGCCCGATGCGGGACTTGATCCCGGGACTCCAGGATCATGACCTGAGCCGAAGGCAGTCGCTTAACCAACTGAGCCACCCAGGCGCCCCGCCCTGCAGATGTTTTTAATAATCCACTGAGTGGTGTGTGTGTGTGTGTGTGTGTGTATAAAGAGATTATAACAGGCCTACAAAGGAGAGATAAAGTTGGAAATTTTTACCTTAAAAGTAACCACCTGCTACTCCTTGCAGTTGGTAAAAGGTCTGTTATAGTCACTTCTTTTAGCTGTCATTTGGCTTATATATTATCTCATTTGCCCATACTATTGCTAAAATCCTATGAGATGGAAGAGTCGCATTGAATATGTATTCAAGATTCTAAAGAATCCAATTACTGAAATTACTATTTTGATACAACAACCTGTGTTTTTTTAGGATCTCTTGAATCGTGTAGAAGATTTCCAACAGCATAGCCAGAAATTGCTCTCTGAGGAAATGCCCAGTGCTGCAGAGCTGCAAGACTTGCTAGATGTCAGCTTTGAATTTGATGTTGAACTTCCACAGCTTGCTGAGATGCGTATTCGTCTGGAGCAGGCCCGTTGGCTAGAAGAGGTGCAGCAAGCTTGCCTAGACCCCAGCTCCCTTACATTAGATGATATGAGACGTCTCATAGACCTAGGGGTGGGTCTGGCCCCATATTCAGCAGTGGAGAAAGCAATGGCCCGGCTTCAGGAACTGCTTACAGTGTCAGAGCACTGGGATGACAAAGCCAGGAGTCTTCTCAAGGCCAGGTAAAAAAGCAAACTCACCTCTCTCTCGGGGAAGGTTGGGTAATATGTTCATCTTAGAGCAGTAGAGCACAGTGATTGGCATGTGACCGATGTTCAAAAGCTGCAGCTGTACATGTAGAATACATGTAGAAATAGTTGAGATGTTGGGGCTGCTTTGGAACTTGAGTAAAAGAGTATTAATTTTCTTCTTACTTTACTGATTGAAAAAGGAATGATTCAAATGGAATTGCCTTTTCTAGAGTTGTTTTTATGAAATTTCTTTGGGCCCCAATGATACCATCTTTGAGAGAAGAAAAAGTTTTACAAAAAAGTGAAAAACTATTTAAACCCACAGTTAATAAATAAGTTCCCAAGGAGTCTTACTGACACCGTTCTGTAAAATGAAGATAGTGCCAGTAATTACCAACAGGAATAGGAATGTACATTTTTGCTGTTCCTTAGTAATTCAGGACACCTTACCCGTGTGAGAGAGATTTGATTGGACTCAAGTAAACCATCTGAGGGGAGAAAGATCACCCCTCCCTAATTTTGCTTTCTGTCTAACAGATCTTCATTGGTCCAGTTGATAACATAGAGTACAAGGAAAAAAAATACATGGATACAGACATTCTTTTGTAATCCTAAAATAGTGGTCATTGAGCAGAGAGCATATTTTTTGATACTATGCTTTTGGTATGTTGATACCCTAGAGAATTTAAATTTTCTTAGTGAAACGGTATGAATCTTGACAGTGTATGTAGTTCAACACAGTAAATTATCATTAAGTTACCTAATGCAAATGAAAAGTTTGTGGTTATAGCAGCATAAAATCAGGGATAAGTAAAACTTAAATGTTTCACTGGGTCATTTCCTTTATCTTAGATGCTCTTAAGTTTTATGCAGACATTTGAAACTCAATTTGATATCTAGTAGTTATTGACATTTGAAAAAAATTTATTTGCTATACTGAATTTCTTTTGAAATGGTTTTTCTAGCTTATTTAGTAAACCTTAAGAAAAATGAACCACCATATAAAATGTTAAGTAGTTCTTATATTTCATTTTTGTAGACCTCGGCATTCATTGAACAGCCTTGCTACAGCAGTTAAGGAAATTGAGGAGATCCCCGCATATCTGCCAAATGGTGCAGCTCTGAAAGACTCAGTGCAGAGAGCCAGGGACTGGCTTCAGGATGTGGAGGCCCTGCAGGTTGGTTTAAGAAAAAAATGTCTCGGGGCGCCTGGGTGCCTCAGTCGGTTAAGCATCTGCCTTTGGCTCAGGTCATGATCCCAGGGCCCTGGGATGGAGCTCCACATCGGGCTCTCTGCTTAGCGGGGAGCCTGCTTCTCCCTCTCCCTGCTTGTGCTCTCTTTCTCCGTCAAATAAATAAAGAAAAGAAAAGAAAAAAGAAAAAAATGTCTTGAGTGTATAAGTGCATCTATGAAGAGTAATAATTTAATAAAGGGTACTACGTTGGATTTCACCATACAGATTCAGTCTTTTCGGTTGGCCAGATTAATAATTTATTCAGAGGGAGAGGGAGAGGGAGAAACACACTCCCCGCTGAGCAGGGGAGTAGTATGTACTGAGCAGTATGTAAATATACTTACCCATCTATTGTCCTGACCAGTTGGCTCAATAAAGTTTAGATAATTCAACCAACTTTTTCTGGGAGCTTGGGATCTTCTTAACAAACTTGAGTACTTGGTTAAGGATTGAAGATAAAGTATGGGCGCCTGAGTGGCTCAGTCGGTTAAGCGTCTGCCTTCAGCTTGGTCATGATCCCAGGGTCCTGGGATTGAGCCCTGCGTTGGGCTCCCTGCTCAGCGGAGAGCCTGCTTCTCCCTCCCTCTCCCTCTGCCTGCTGCTCTGCCTACTTGTACATGCGCTCTCTCTCTCTCTGTCAAATAAATAAATAAAATCTTAAAAAAAAAAAGGATCGAAGAGAAAGCTAAAAATGGAAGTTGTGGGGGAAAGGTAGTTTCTGATCTTTGAGTACAGTTGTCTCTTGTTGGCTTTTTAACAACTTCAAGTACAGACAATCAAGAGTAGCAGATGTAATGAATCTGGTTATATGATTACAAGGCGAAAGTAGGCTGGGGCCTAGAATTTTTCACCAAGTAGTGACTTTTTTTTTTAATTTAAAGATTTTATTTATTTATTTGTGAAAGAATAAGAAAGAGAGAGAGCATGAGACAGAGGGTCAGAGGGAGAACGGACTCCCTGCTGAGCAGGGATCCCGATGCAGGACTTGATCCTGGGACTCCAGAATCATGACCTGAGCCAAAGGCAGTTGCTTAACCAACTGAGCCACCCAGGTGCCCCTCACCAAGTAGTGACTTAAAGTGCCTCCCTACCCCTACAAAAGAAATGAAACTTAACAAGTTCCAAAGTAATTAGCACTAAGTATATATGGTCCTATGTTTGATGTCATACTTAATGACTTGCCTATACATTAAAAAAGAGTTAGATTCAGGGGCTCCTGGGTGGCTCAGTCGGTTGAGCATCTGCCTTTGACTTAGTTCATGATCCCTGGGTCCTGGGATCGAGCCCCGCGTTGGGCTCCCTGCTCAGCGGGGAGTGTGTTTCTCCCTCTCCCTCTGTTCCTCCCCCTGCTTGTGCTCTCTCTCTCTCTCTCTCTCTCTCTCCCTCTCTGTCAAATAACTAAATAAAATCTTCAAAAAAAAAATTAAATAAAAAAGAGTTAAATTCACTTGTAGCATTATTAAGGTACAGACAAAAGGCATTCTGTGATTTACACAATTGCAGCTGGATAACTTCATTTGAAAAGTGGTTGGTGGGGAGTGTCTTCCTTTATCTTCGTAATCTTTGTAAATCAGTAGGTCTTATGGACCTATTGAGAAAAAAAGATCTTTGAATTATTTAATGTGCTAGGTTTTTAAAAATTTATCTCATTCTTGAGTCTCAAGTTCTGTTTTGTTGAAGCCATCAGATTCCAAGAATAAAAAATACTATCTGGTTTTCTGAATATTTGTCTAATTTTAAGTTGTGCTAATTGATTAATTTTGCTAACAAGAAATGCCAAACCAGGCAGATTTAGCCAGATGTTTGCAACAAAACATCTGGTCATCAATTCTGGTTAAAAGGGAAGAGAGAATATGCTGTTGTTTGATAAATATTATTACTTAATTAAGGGGTGACCCCAGCTAGCCAAAGAAAAAACCAAGGGAAGTATTTACTGTGTACATAAACTTCCTTAATGGGAGTTTTAGATGCAGGCTCTTGTTAATGATGGTTGGAACTATAGTTGATTAGTTTTAATCACAGTCCCCCTTTTTACTTATGATTGGTGGCAGCCAGAAAGGCAAGGTGAGGTCATTGCAATAAGGAGAGATGAGCATGTGAAGTCAGAAAGAGGACATATTTCTGGGTAGGCTTGCTCTATTTATATGTTGTAATGTGTATACTACTTAGTACTTTGTTTTCAATAGTGCCCACAAGGACAAAAAGCAAGTTTTGCTCCATTCCTGAAATAATAGCCTGGCCTTTACTTGCATCATATACTTAAGGACTAATGGAGAGATGTGACTAACAACAAGGAGCCTCTTCATATTTAGTGGATTATGTATTTTACAATGTTACTCAGTATTCTGCTTTACACATAGGTAGCATTCCATTTATTTCTAAATTAAATATTAAAGACAGCATGTATTTTGTGAGTCACTTTAAGTGTCTAGCAGAACATTTACACACTTACAGTTCCAATCCTGTAAGAATAAATACCAAAGGAGTGAAACATCAAGTTCCTAGTCTATATTCAGTTTTCCCCAATTTCCCCAAAAATTTCCCTTCTGGTTGTTTATCTAGTCCACCACCACATGTTGTACCTTATTGACATATGTCTTTAAGTTTCTTTGAATCTTGTGGTGTTTTCTTCCCTACCCTACTTTCTTTCATGTCACCTTCTAGAATAGTTACCCCATGGTAAGTTCTACCTTCTGGATTTGTCTGGTTATTTCCTTGTGGTATGTTCTATCTTCGGTGTTTCCTCTAAATTGGAAGTTAGTTTCAAAGAGTTGATGGATTGAAGTTAAATACTTTTTGCTTAGAATAATATCAGAATATCAGCTGATACTATATACTTTGTTTGGCTTCACATCAGGAGACACATTTTGATGACCTGCTTAGTGAAGCTAAGATTTACCATTGTATTAGAGGGACACCGGTGCTCCCCACACCCAACCTAATGTTTTTATTCTTCTTCTAGTTTGGGTCTCTCATTCTCAAAATGTGGTGCCAGGGGTGCCTGGGTGGCTCAGTCGGTTAAGTGTCTGCCTTTGGCTCAGGTCATGATCCCAGGATCCTGGGATAGAGCCCCGCATTGGGCTCCCTGCGCAGTGGGGAGTCTGCTCCTCTCTGCCCCTCTGCCCCTCTCCCTGCTTGTGCTCACTCTCTCTCTCTCACTCAGATAAACAAATAACACCTTAAATGTGGTCCCAGTACCAAAAGCATCAGCATCATCTGGAAACTTGTTAAGAAATGTAAATTCATGGATTCTTCCCTGGTGACCTGAATCAGAATATCTGGGGGTGGGGCCCAGGAAACTTGTTTAAATAAGCATTCCAGATTATTCTTAATGCATATGAAAGTTTGAGAACCAGTGGGACTTTTTCCTCATTTTAGTTTTCTGAATAATTTATACTGAGTTACTTCATCATTGGGTGGGTTGGAGTAAAATATTGTTGCTTTTGTTAACGTAAGTCAGTGTGAAAACCTTTTGAGTTATTGCAAATCTACATTTCTCTTTAATTTTTTTCAAGCTATCTATAGGGATCAAGATGACAAGTGAATTTAGAACGGCATAAAAAGTCAACAAAGAGATCACAGTGTATGTCCTGTTCATAGTTGTATCCTTGGGGACTAGCACAAACTAGGTTCTTTTAAAGTATTTGTTAAGTGAAGGAAGACATGTTACCCACACTCCCACTATCATTGGTCAGCTGGCAAATTTTGTCCATCTCTATGAAATTAACATGTTGAAATAATGGAGTAGGTCTACTCTGAATTGTGCTTTTCCCACTTTGCAGAGAAGTACTCTTTTTTCTAAGTTGCTACAATTTCTCTTGACTCGTTAGGTTGGAGGACGCGTGCCAGTGTTAGACACGCTCATAGAACTTGTTACCCGAGGCCGATCTATCCCAGTACATCTAAATTCTTTACCAAGACTGGAATTACTAGTAGCTGAGGTTCAGGCTTGGAAGGAATGTGCTGCTAATACATTCTTGACTGAGAATTCTCCATATTCTCTCTTAGAGGTAAGTTTGCAACCAGCCCATCTACAAGACCTTAGGATCTCTTAGCTTGTAGAACATGCAGTCCCTTCCCTCACAAAGGTGGCGTCGCTGACTGATCTACATTCTGGGAGTTATTTTTTTCAGTAGAGCCAGGGAAATTCTTCTGAACTGCCAGTGAAATAACCTTTAAGTGTTACCTGGATACATTTAGGGATAGCATTCAATATCTAAAGAAGAACATTTTTCTCATTGAAGTTCCTCAGTCTGGGTTGAAATTGGACTTTTTTTTAACCTTGGCCATGCTGCACCATTTGCATTTAATAAGCCTGGTAAATGGTCTTCTCCACCTCTCATGAAGTGCTAGAGTTGCACTTTGTGTATTTTTTGTAAGCTGATACCGGTTGTACATTATGACTGGAATTGGTGTATATCACATTGAACTTACGGTTTCACCCAGTCTATAATCAAAGTCAATGTTTTGTGAAATTCATTCCCTCCCTCCTTCCCTTTATAGAGAAGAGTTTTCTGGCTTTAGAGTGGCATGTGACAGAGAAAATGTTAGATAATAAGTTTACATCCTTCCCACTGCTTAGGCTTTTACTGTGGGGCTTCCTAAGGCTTTATCTGAAATCCATCTTACTGGTAGTTGTGCTTTGCCCCACATTAGGTGCTGTGTCCTCGATGTGACATTGGCCTTTGGGGATTGAAGAGGAAGCAGAGAAAGTTCAAGGAGCCCTTGCCAAGTGGAAAGAAGAAAAGCACCAAACTAGAGAGTCTGAGTGACCTGGAGAGAGCTTTAAGTGAAAGCAAGGAGACTGCTTCAGCTGTACGTAGTGGGGCTTTTTCTTCTTTCTCTGTTGCTTAGGGGGGATGATTTCTAACCCTTTCTTGTTCACAGGGATATTGGTAAGGTATGTAAAAGGGTAACCTTGAGAGTACTCCGTTTTACCAAAAAGACTTTCTGAAAATTGTCAAATGTAAACGTTTTGAGTAGAAGATACATAGAGGTGCAGCAGGTACAGGGAGGGCCTCCCAGTCTGAGTTCTGCAGACTCTGTCTTGTCATTGCCTGTGGGTTGATCCCGGGATGCTGACTGAGGATATCAGGGTTAACAGATAAGTGAAACTGTACTGCCAACTTACTAATTTACAACAGGAAATACACATAAGGGGTGCCTGGCTGGCTCAGTGGGTGGAGCGTGTGACTCTTGATCTCAGGGTTGTGAGTTCAAGCCCCACGTTGGGCATAGAGCTTACTAAAAGTAAGTAAGTAAAATAAATAAATACACAAACACACGTGCTTAAAAAATACACTTAAAAGTGTATTGGATACCTTTGAGTCTGACTTCATTTAGTAAGCACTGTTGATTCAAAGCTGGTGTCATCATAAGAAGCTGAAGCAGAGTCTTAACTCATGGTCAGTGAGCCCCACAGTATTAGAACAAAAGAAGATAGGTAATTTGGATGCTTAGATTTTTTTCTTTTATTGAGCTATAATTGGCATATAACAGTATGTTAGTTTCAAGTGTACAGCATGGTGATTTGATTGATCACCGCAATACGTCTAGTTAATAGTTAACATCCATCACCGCACATAGTTACAAACGTTTTCTTATGGTGAGAAATTTAAAAATCTACTCTTAGCCGTGTCCAAGTATACAATACGGTACAGTATTAACTATAGTCAGCATGCTGTACCTTATATCCTCAGGACTTATTTTATAACAGGAAGTTTGTACCTTTAGACTGCCTTTACCCAGTTAGCCCACTCCCCACCCCCTGCCTCTGGCAGCCATTGATTTGTTCTCTGTAACTGTGGGTTTGGGGTTTTTTGGTTTGTTTTTTTTTTTTTTTTTTGGATTCATACAATATTAGTCTTTGATTTATTTCACTTAGCCCAACGCAATTACAATCCATCTATATTGTTTTTTTTTTTTTTTTTTTGGATTCATACAATATTAGTCTTTGATTTATTTCACTTAGCCCAACGCAATTACAATCCATCTATATTGTTGCAAGTGGCGAGATTTCCTTTTTTTTTTTTTAATGGCTGAATAATATTCTATTGTATGTACACACACCACATCTTCTTTATCCATTCATCCACTGATGGACACTTAAGTTGCTTCCATGTCTTGGCTACTGTAAATAATGTTGCAGTGAACATGGGGGGTGCAGGTAGCTTTTTAATAAGTTAGTGTTTTTCTTTCTTTAGATAAATATCCAGAAGTGGAATTGCTGGATCATTTGGTATTTCTATTTTTAATTTTTTGAGGAGCCTCCATATTGTTTTCCAGAGTGACTGTACTGATTTACATTCCCACCAACAGTGCACAGGGTTCCCTTTTTTTTCCACATCCTCACCAACATGTGTTACTTCTTGGCATTTTTGATATAATAGCCGTTCTGCTAGGTGTGAGGTGATCTTGCATTATGATTTTGATTTGCAGTTTCGTGGTTGACCATCTTTTCATGTACCTGTGTCGTCTTTGTATGTCTTCTTTAGAAAAATAGTCCTATCCTCTGCCTATGTTTGTTTTTTGCTATTAAGTTGTATGTGTTCTTTATCTATTTTGGATATTAACCCCTTATCAGGTGTGTGCTTTGCCAGTACTTTCTTCTATTCTGTAGGTCACCTTTTAATTTCATTGGTTTCCTTTGTTGAGCAAAAGCTTTTTAGTTGGGGGCGCCTGGGTGGCTCAGTTGGTTAAGCAACTGCCTTCGGCTCAGGTCATGATC